ACATTCAACTCACGCGAATTGGGATTAATACCTAGTTGACGAGCCACACACACATACACACACACACGCACGCGCGCGCCCGAATCCTGCCCAACAAAGTTGCCACCCGAAGCATTTGGGGGCTGATCACAAGGTCATCTACATGGGGATGACCATTGGGAAACACTACTAAACAGATTCTATTTTCCACTAAGTAGGAACAGTTACACATGGTCATTTGGGGCCAGGAATATTGATCAACCCCCATTTGAAGCTCTGCTTGCGGACCAAACAAGCTTGCAAATCTGATTTTCCAAGCCCGAACCGAAACTTTGTTTCGCTCTATAACACCAGCCTAGGGCATTTCCGAAAACAGAGAACCCCTGTTTGAAGATGGTGTTCAAGAAAAGCAAAGGCAAATCCACCAAGGCAAATCCACCAAAGGCAATCCACCAAAAACTGAGTCCAACAAACAAGGAGTAGGCCCCATGTCAACCATCCCATTTCAGCCTCTCACCAAAAACCAGTCAGAATTGCCCCCCTCGCCCTCCAAAAGAACATGTATTAGCATCTTCACAAACAACATCCTCACCGCCCCTTGTCGATTTTTCCGTGAGAGTTGAGGGCTTCAGCCGCTTGTTTGAACATGATTGAACATTGTTCAATTGCAATAGCACCCTGTTGTTTCCTTTTCACAACGGCAAATTACCATTGTGTGCTCCGCTGAGCGTAGAACCCTCTTGCAAGAATCTCTGTTTTGATTTAGTATTTGATTGATTTAATTGGTTTTGTATTGATGGCATCTGAGTTTCTAGTGGATAAGATGGCACATCCAGCCGATTTTTGAAGGTTTGCGGCATGAACACTGAAGTAGTCAGGCCTAAAAGTCTGAGAGGACATAAAAATCAAGCATTCTCGTATGTGCCATCAATACGAACCCGCCCTTGCCACTCGCCTCCTAAGCTTGCAAGGAATTCAGGGGACGAATTCGCTGAGAACAGCTCTCAGGGTCCCAGGGCGACAAGTGAAGAATGACTTGCTCCGGAATTACTTGCTATCTGTTAGGGCGACGGGGCAGCCTTGCCGGACTGCTTCTCTTGTCCGGAAGTCCAGGACTGAAAAGTTGTTCGCCATCTTTGCGTGTGCGCCATCTTTGCCTTCGCAAAAAGGCTCAAAGATTTGGAGGGACATTTTGGCTATGATGGCAAGGTGCCATCAATACGAAACCCCCGATAATTGAATAAGCTGCACAGCCATGATCTGACTGAGGGAGTCATGGAACCAGTGCGTTCCACGCTTTTTGCCACGGGAAAAGCCCACCTTCTGCCACGGCCCCCGGCGCATGGCGGTGAGGCTGCACGCCAAAGCTCCCAGGGTGAGGACCTCAGCTCTGAGTGGATTGAGTGGGTGCCGTTTCAGGTGCCCTGCGCGAATCCCAAAACGTTGGAGTCCGACCCGTAAGTCAACACCCCACATCAGCTTCCCCCGTGCTGGTTTGGAGCCCCCTCTCTGGGAGTGTCTTCTAGACCCACGAAAAAAGAAAAGAACAAAAACATGGGCGCTCCGGAGTTTTCCCCGTTGGTTTCCTTTAAACAAAAAATATAAGAACATCGGGTGCCAACTCAAAAGCAAAAAGAACACCCCCGGTTTGAGAGGAGTAGGGGACAAACACAAAGTGGGCTGTGGTTTTCCTTGTGGTCTCCTGTTAAAAAAAAACACACACACAAAAACAAAACCTTAAAGCATGGGGACCAACTCAAAAACGATACCCCCCTTTGGAAGGATGCCATCTTCGTGTTTGGAAGGATGTCTTTTATGGGACCCCCCCAAAACTCAGTTGTTCCAAGGACCTAGACACTTCTCAGGCGATCACCGTTGGGGCCATGCCGAACCATGGGAATCCAAAAAGGGGTCGCTTTGCTTTGGGCAAGTAAACAAATGGGCTTGAGTTCTCCTTGTGGTTTCCGGTTAAAAAGCCACAAACATGGGGAACTCTGCCTTCTTCCAAACCTATGCGGATGATTATTTGTTGGCACTCACAACCCCAATTGTCACTTCTGAACGAGATGGGCCACAAAGTAACCACACATCTTGCGTACCACTAACATGTTCCTGACCCAACAAGTGACTATAGTCCGAAACGGAACTGCAGGGGTTGAGCCATTCCAATCCGGAACACGCTGTTCTCACTGCGAAGATCAGATCGGATCGGATGGGCGCACCGATGGGGCTGCCAGGCAAAGCCATCGTGGAAATCTGCTGCCCGGCTTGGCCTGCGGCATTCGCAAAGAGCAGGCGAGTCGCGATCAAAACCTGGTACCTTCCATTTGCTGTTTCGCCCCTGGAAAACATATCATATTTCCAGTAGGGAGAACCACAAGCGCTGCAAGCACATTCGAGTAATTGCATGATCTCTTCCGACAGAAGGAAAATCACTTGTCAGCAAATGGAAGTATATTAAGATGGTCGGCCCAGAACCATGTAAAGAATAATAGGCGACTGCACGTGATTCTGGTTACGATTGTCCCTTACTACCCTCCAATTACCCAGGTTTTGATTCAGATTCAGGTTCTATCCATCAAGGTGATGGAAACTCAACAACTTCGTGTATAGCAGCCACGCAAATACTGTATGAAAGCACACATCAAAATAATAAGGCGCACACACACACATACAAATGCACAACAAACAGACTGGCAAGAAAAGCGCAATCAAGCAAGGCAGGGAAAGGCATAAGGGAGATCAAGACAAGGCAAGCAAAGCAAGCGAACAAGCTTAAGCTGGTGAAGCAGACCAATGCACCAATGACAACACATCATACTCGAGGGTGGGTGGAACTCCAGCAAACTTGTCGAACTTTCTCTTGTGCCCAAACTTCTAGGAAGGGTCCAACCCCACTTGAAGACACCCCAGGGATCTCACCTAGGACCGTTTTGAATGTGGGCAACTCTTTCGGCCTCTGGGTCTCCCCGTACCTCGTACATCAGGTGATCAGCATCTCAAACAAAAACAAAACAAACTGAAACCAGACCAAACCAAGTGAAATAATCAATGCATCTCAAACCAATGATACCAAAGCAAGAAAGGGGGTCTAAAGCAATCTGAACCTTGACATTGGTGAGGCCGCCAGTCCTGAAAATAAGCTCACCAGAATTTGTCAAAATGATTGTTGACCCAAAGGATCCCTTGATACCCTTGGAGGATGGTTTTTAGAGGATTCAACATCTGTCTCTGTGCGGAAGGCGCTCTCAACCCATTGACTGGTTGTTTCCCATGGTTCTAAAAGTTTAATAAACATCGGCCTTGCCTTTCTTGATGTCAAAACCCAGAAAAGGTCGTGAGTCTCAGACATGCCCTTGCCTGTGAGACGGACATAGCGCACTTCGGCGCGGCACGTGGGGCCTTTAAGGCTTAGATCTGTTTTCGCGTCCTCAAAATCTGATCTCTTCGCACGTCTCCAGCTGGGTGCGGAACATTTGGTCTTGGGCTTGGGGGCTTGGCCCTTGGCTGATTCAGTGATGGTTGTCGGTTGCGGCGAGGGAAAACTGAGCGAGCCGAAACGGGCATTGGTCCAAGCCGTTCATGCATTCGTCAAGGTGCGTATAATCCTTCAGTTCGAGTCTCCAAGTGGTTCGTGTGTCCTTGCAACTGATTTGGAAACAAGGGTGTTTCCGCACACGTAGGTTAAAACACGCACGAAACTTCTAAAAAAAACCAAACTTACGAATCCCACACACACACACAAAAGCAATGCCCACGACATGAAACTCAGGATTGCTCTTCGACGCATTCTGTAGGCACCAGTTTGGATGGCCCCTGACGAGTCGGGAATCTCATGCCTTATGCCCACCTCAAGTCCGTTGATTGCCCGCCAAGGGTCTGGTGCGTGAAACATGCGGGTAGGAACATCCGGATTGAAGGATGGTGTCGACATGCGTCGACATTGCCACTGCTGAAGGTCGACAAAAGGGGAAATGGAGAGACCCTTTAAAGGGAACCTGTGGCAACCAAAGCCCTGCTTCAAAGGAAATTCGGTTGGTTGTGTAAACACGCGCGTTGTGTTTGCGTGCGGGTGCGTCTGTGTCTGCGTGCGTGCAGGTGTGTGCGTGCGCACGTGTGTGCGTGGGTGCGTGGGTGCGTGGGTGGCTGTGTGTGTGTGGGGAGCTTTTTCAGTCTTTGTGTCTTTGTGTGTCTCTGTCTCTGTGTCTGTGTGTCTCTGTGTCTGTGTCTGTGTGTTTCTCTGTCCGTGTCTGTGTCGGTGTCTGTGTGTGTGTGTGTGTGTGTCTGTGTGTCTGTGTGTGTCTGCGTCTGTGTGCCTGTGTCTGTGTGAGTGTGTGTGTCTGTGTGTCTGTGTGCGTGTGTGCGTGTGTGGGTCTGCGGGTCTGCGGGTGTGCGGGCGTGCAGGCGTGCGTGCACGTGCGCGTGCGCGTGCGCATGCGCGTGGGTGTGGGTGTGTGCGGGTGTACTTGAGTCGGACGTTTCTCTACTAATAGGTTAAGAAGGTTAATGGTGGAACTTGATTAATAAACCCGCCCCCCGCCCCCCCCTCAAGGTTGACAAGGTTTGGGAAAATCAGATTTTGGGGGTTCCCCTGCGGCCTCCCCCTAATAATTGATCTGCAGGACTTGAAGCTTGAGAAGCTTGAGGATTGAGGTTTGGAGGCTTGAGGTTTCTGATCAGCTGCCAGGCTCCTGCAACTTGCTGCTGTAGAAGACAAACTTTTAAGAAAAAGGGACCCTTGGCCAAATTCAAATAGAATCTTCTGGTAGTATCTGTTGAGTAGTAGCCCTTTAGGTTTCCAATTGCTGGGGCCAGGTTGTTGCTTTTGAGGAGGGGCACCCCCTTGATTAATCAGGGGGGTTTCTCTTATTAGGGGGGGTCAGGCCTTGAAGGGGGGTACCCTTGTGGGCCTTGGCAAACCTGCATTTCTTAAACAGGATGTAGTAAAGAAATTTGCCGTTTGGGAATGCAAGCTTTTCAGAAAAAAGAACCCTTGGCCTAATTCAAACAGAATCTTCTGGGATTATCTGTTGAGTAGTAGCACAACTTGAAGAAGGAAACACTGAAGGCAGGAGAGGCCATGAAGGAAAGGAGTGAGAGCATTCAGACAGGCTGAGTCATGAGGAAAAGGATGCTGCTGCTGTCTGCTGCTTCAGGATTTTTTCTGGGAGATTGGGGGACGTCTTTAATCATGGGGGGGTTTTGGAGGTGCCCCCAAAAAATTAAGGGGTGTTTTTGTTGGCCAAACCTTGTGGGTGCCTTTAAAGTAGTATTGAATGGAAATGGTCTGGGGAAACCGGACGTCTTTAATCAGGGCGGGATTAACGAAGAATTGCAGAGTTTAATGAAAGAGTAGCAAGGCAGTGCTAGTATGGTTGTATGTATGTGTTAAGGTACATGTAAAGTTTATGTTATGTTAACATAGTTATGTAATGATTAGCCAATTATGTTAGGGGTTTGCCTAAGTATGTCTAAAACTTAGGTAACCTTAGGATAGCTAGCTGTATTTAACATAGCTGGTGATATCGTTGTCACTGTCAATTTGTGTGTTCCCATTTTTGCGCATTTTGGGCTTTTTTGATTCACACATTGCAGCTGCTAGCTGCCTGTCACCAAGAACAAAAAGTGTCCAATCATTAGCACACAGTGCTGAAACGCGTTTGCTTGTTGCTTCTGCAGCACAGTAGCGCACAGTGCTTTTGGTCAGTGTCGGCCGAACAAATAGTACAATCTGCCGCCCATGGCCCGAGCCATGTATGAAAGCTCTTTTGGAAGAAACCAGCAAGAACAAAGCAACCAGCACAAAAGCCAGACAGGCACACAGGGTTCACCTTTCCACTGTTGCAGTTGCTGGTCTTTCACAGCCATTGTCTTGGAAAGTGACATAATGGTCGTGGTTTGCATGGCATGTCTCACCAGCCCAATGAAATTCAATGCATTTTTTGGGTATGCTCAAGCTCAATCAATTTGATGAGCTTCTGCATGCATCAAAAAAGCTCAATTATGGTGTTCATACTTTCCTGCATGTTTTTGTGGAAAATAAGCAGGCATCATTTATCATGCCAAGGGAAAATGCAACCCAAAAATGCTAAATGGGTAGCAGATTTAGTAATGTGTGCTCTAGCTATGTTAACCTTCCTAACCAATTAGCAGAGAAGCATCCGACTCAAGTATGTGGGCGTGGGTGCGGGTGTGCGTGTGCGTGTGCGTGAGCGTGCGTGAGTGTGTGCGTGTGCGTGTGGGGTTGGGTGTGTGTGTGTGTGTGGGTGTGTGTGTGTGTGTGCGTGTGTATGTGTGAGTGCTTGTTTCTGTGCTTGTCTGTGTGCTTGTGCGCTTGTCTGTGCATGCTTGTGTGCGTGTGTGCTTGTCTGTGCGTGTGTGTGTGTGTGTGTGTGCGCGTGGCTTCAAGGGAAAGCACCAGGAAATTCGCTTTATGCTTCTGAGGGTACCTTCTGGGCTTGATTGGAAGGGAACACAACCGGATCTCCGCCCGGGCTTTTTGTTCGCCAGCGCAACCTCCGCTGCCAAACCTTGGTGTTGCTGTTCCCACGCGCGGCTGGTTTTGCACAAAGCCATCCTGATTTGCTCACCCTGCATTTGCTTCAGTCCCCAGGGAAAAGAAAAATACTCCAGTAGTGATAGACAACCAGTTAAACGTAATTTTGAGCAAACGGAAGCAAAGCTACCCTGATTTTGTTGAGCTCTCAACAGAGCAGGGCTTGTCCACGAACCCAAATAGATCAGCCAGGCTCCCTCTGGCACAAGTTCGATGAGGCGAGTAGCACCAGTTGACCCCACTAGCAGGTTCCTGTGCACCATCCAGAAGCTGTCAAACAGACCTGGAAATGGTGGCCAACAGACATGAAACTCGTCAGGGACCCAGTGAGGTTCCAGCTTGAGGGGAGACTTTGCACCGTGCTTCAGTTCAAAACCAAAACGAAAGCCGTTTTTGGCGTCTCCTACTTTCAATATGAGTGGTGTGGGAGTTTGAGGCTGGTTCCAAATGTCCAATGTCCTTCTCAAATTCACAGTAGACGAACTTTGACTCCGAATTGATCAAGGCGACTTAGCCGCGCGGTATTTCCACGTGTGAAGGAGTCCTCTAGTTGGATCTAGTGGGATTCCTAGTCAACAAGGGGTTTATTAACCCAGAATCAACCTGGCTCTGCATAAAAGATGCAACCATTTCAAGACCTGAAGTCAAATAGTCAAAGGACACCATGAGCTCATTTGACCCCGGATCGGTGAGGCAAGGAGCGGTTTTGGCTCAGCATTGGTAGGTTCATCCCATCCACAGTATGTTCTTCTTTAAAGTGCTTCCAGGGTGGAACAGACCAACAAAACAAGGATTCGTAGTGGATCTGTCCTGATGCCCTACCTATCGCAAGCAAGAGTGAGGGACCCCTCTTTCGGCCCGAGAGTCGCATCTGGCGCTCCGCCTCAAGCTGAGCTTCCAGTGACGCTACCCGCGCCTCGTCGAAACACAAGGCGATGGTTTTGTGGAAAAACGCGGCTGGAACCGGGGAGCACGGGTGGGACGGGGAAGGCGAACGTCAAACCCCTCATCTTACACGGCTCCGAGAAAGCACCTCGAAGATGCATTTCCTCGAAAGGAGGGACTGGGTCCGTGTCAGGTGTTATGTTAGGGTACGCATTAACCACCAAGTTGGGTGAACCGTGGGTTTTGGACAACTCCAGGAGATTACCTGGAAGATACATTTGCTTTTGCAGTGACATGTTAGTCTAGTGGGCCAGGGGACAACCAAAATAAGTGAACCATGGTTTTGGGGGTTGGACCCTCAAGCGCCCTGACAAAACATATTCCGGCCAGAGACCCCAAACAGTGACGGGCATAGACTGACCCGGCGGCCACGGGCTGGAAAGACATGGGCATCCTGCTGGCGTTTGCGCACCGACATGAGGTTGTGGGTACCTAACGGCATAGAGCGGGTGGTTTCCAGTATCTTCATGCGTTAAACATGAAGTTGGAGGTGTCCATCCCGCGCGCCGACTGAGCAAGGCGACGCACTGAGCTTGTTGCGAAACCGTCAGCAACACAGCGAAAGGCTTCTCCTTCACCAGCGCCCGAAGCTCGTCTCGCTGCAACTTTCTCGCGGCCTGCTTTTGGCTAATCCCTATAGCTCTGAGCACGCTGCCGGTAGCTCGCAACAATCGCAAGATAAAGTTCCCAACAAAACGCGCACCCACCTACACGGCTGCAGTCTCTTCCAAGATGCAGGTGCCAAGATGCTCCAAGTCCAAGTTTGTCCGCGCATCTACACGCGCAGTTTGCAGCAAAGCCGCTTCCATGGGTCAAACTCACAGCTGGAGCCAAGCCAAAGACATGACGGCAACTGCCGGGAAAGTCTCTGTGCACAACAAACATCTCTCCGTGCTTAATTCCAGCAAGACCAGGAACCTTGTTTTGGTGGGTTCATTGCAGCAGGCTGCGTGCGCAGAGAGGTCACTTGGCATGCTCAAAGTTTGCACCGCGCCACAGCGAGAGATTTTGGGCAAGCCCTGCGCAGCCGAAACGCACTTCGACATCATACCACCTCACGATTTTGCGGTAAATACCTCGCAAAATGCTCCCGGCCAAACTCGCGGGCCTCATTTTGTGCGAGCCTGCACAGTCGATAAGTTCAAACCTTTTTTGGACCAACCACTCAATTGGAAGTGAGTCTCCGAGTCGGTTTTGAGGGATGTCGAGCCCTGGCCATTTCAGCAAATGGCAGAACTCTAGGGCGACCGAAGACGACAGTCGCGTCTCTCTGGGAGCAGCTCGCCTCCGCACTGAGCAGCCGCGCGAGGCGCTGTAGCCCGCTGGGCAGGCGGCTCAACACCTATACGACTCCCCAAATCACAGAGGGTTCACACAGGGGGTGACAGCGGGTTACAGGGGTTCTAGGGGGTTTACAGGGGGCGATTAGAATCACATAAACTGCCAATGTCCGGTCATGGAACGGAAAGCGTGTGAAACCCACCAGTGACTACCAAAAAATACCCTACCAAAAACCAAGGATACAAAACTTACTCAAGAGGTCTGGTTTGGCGGCCAACACGACCCCTGGCCGTATCACCTCACAGAAACCCCAGAATTGTCCCAACAACCAGATGTACCACCCGACTTGCCCCGAATTTCCGTGGTTCCCCCGCCGCAACCTGTTTCTGGGGGCCGAAAAGACCTGGGGGGATCAAGTTGGACAAAGGCATCTTGTGGCTTTCCAACCAACGGTCATCCCATGTACAGGGCCCTTTGGATCAACCCCATATGGCCAAACGAAAAGTTTCTTGCGCATGCACCTGCCCGCAGAAGAGCGCGACCAAGGTGAGGCCAAGCAGACGCGCCAGGAAGTCGCAGCCCGTAAGATCTTTGCCTGAGCAGACACCGTGTGTTTTTCGCGCATGTGTGGTCATGTGTGCGCGCTCACACTCACTCACACAGACTTTAGCCGGACTTGTGGTCTCCACGGGACGGCGTGAGCAGTTCCTGTGGTACCCGGGGACTCACGCAGACTTGGGGAAGATGCTCGATGCACTCATGCCGACATGCGCAGGCAGAATCGAGAAATGCAGTGCAGATCAGCAACAATGTCAAGCAACAGAAAGCACAACACATCAAACAAGACAACAGGTCAAAGAACTGTTGGAGTGTAGGTACGGCTTTGGCAGGTCTCCCAAAGAGGTCTCCCAAAGATCTCTGCTGCCAGCTCCGGCTCTATTTCGCGCGCTTTAGCCCGAGAGGCTATGCGGCTCCACGTATCCCTCCAGCACAAAGAGCGCCAGTGGCAGCATGGGGATCGCCAAGTCTGCCCCAAGGGAGAAGTCAGACACGTCCCCCAAACACAGCCTGGGGCCGAGAGCTTGGTTCCCCGATGGCCGGTATCCATTTCTTTGGAGGGAATGACACCAAATGAACCAGCCCTTACGTTTACTTCAAGGGAATGCCCTTCCGGTTCGGTCCACCTCCTTTTGACTCCTTGCTGAGAATCTGGCTTCCCTGAATCCAAAGATTAGGTTGCTCCGCCAATTAAAGAGAAACACTCCCATGGTCTCGCCTAGAGTCAAGTCCACCCCGTGTTCTTAGGGTTTCACAATGAAACAAAGGGGTGCTCCAAAGATCTTGGGGTAAAAATGGGTCTCGAGCACAATGACCCAAATTCACGTTCTATCCCATTGGCATGGGTGTGTGAATCTCAATTAGAGAGCCTTTGGACATCATCAGGTGGGCATTCATCTTCACCAATCGCTTTTGAGGTTGTCGCCTGTGAGAAACTCCAAAACTCATGCATTGCGATACAGGAACGGCTGTGAGCGCCTCTGGTCCTGCCAGGGTTTTTCGGTCAGTCGAATCCATTTGGCACCAAGCTACACGCTCACCGTCCACACGCCCTACGGACGGTGATCCATTAACTCCCTAGGAGACTGTGGCAGTTGTGCTTGGGATAGCAACAGTTTGGTGTGTGTGTGTGTGTTCGCTCGACCCCTTGTGGGATTGAGGAGACATCGACAGGAACCCCTCCGAGTGAACGAGGGAAACAAGCAGCTTGCGATGGTTGGGAAACATGGAATTCTTGGAATTGTGTGATGGTTGAATGGACGTTGCCGTGTTCACTCTAGCTTCCCAACACATTCATATGAGCCATGCATCAGTGGTGTATCACTTGTTACCCCAAACGGATCCCCTGCCTCCCAAAACAGCAGTAAGCTTATGGTGGGATTTGCTTCGTCGGTTTTGCACATGATCTGATTGAGATGTAGGCACGAACAGGTGTAATCAAGAAGGAGTTCGGCGCAATCCTCTGTCGGGCCAAGCCGGGCTTCAACTCACTTCACTTCACTGGAGAGGCTCTTGGCGTGGGCTGGTTGCAAGGAACAGGTAATTAGCGTTTCACAGGAGACGATCAGGAACTGTCCAAGCCCCGCTCAACTACTCTTTTCAAAATCACTGATCCAGGTCCTTTCTATGGAGCTTCATGTTCACCGGATTAATCAACCTGAATTAGTAGGTGGTTCCACGCAACAGCGACGGATGCCCACTTAAATGTGACACCCCTCGGGCGCCTCATACGTGTCCATCAGACGAGCAACAGCCACGGCCAAATGGCCGCCCGCGCAAGCCGCATGCGCTGCGCATCCAGATCGCTGTACCTTACGAGTCCAGGACTGGGGGGACGCAATGCGAATTGCGATTTCCCATGCGTGGGAGGCATGGAGCAATTAAAACAACCCATGCGAGCCGTCAACGCTCCTTTCACCTGGAAATCCAAGCGCAAGGAAGCCAGTGCTAGATTCGAGCGCAGAGATGCGTGCACCCCAAAACAGGTCTCCCTTCAGTTTGCTGGTGCTCAGAAGGGAATAAGAGAATGATTCTTATAAACCATCCCTTGTGGTTTCCTTTAAGGGGACCCCTGCGTTGATTCCCAGATTCCCTACTGAGCACCAGCAAGTCAGTAGAGATTCTGATGTCACATGTTCGCTTGGGAATTCATATCCTCCTTGGAGTAGTTATGGCCAGTATATCAATCCAAGGTTCACATTACAGTGGTTTGCCGGAGTCCGTGGCAAATGGTTGAGATTGCCATCCCAAATCAAGATTCGCCGTGCCCCCATAGCACCTTTTACACTTCTTTCAGGATGATTATAAGCCGGGGGGTGGCAGAGCAGGCGTTGACACGCCTCAAGGATGTTCATCATGCGCTCGCTGTGCCCCTAAAGCTCGCCTGAAGCTCCCCAGAAAAAAAAGAAGAAGTGGAAAAAAAAAAGAAGCTCAAACAAAAAAACAAAAAAAAAGAAGAAAGACGAGGAGCCCAGTGGCAGCCAGCGCCATGAGCGCCACGCCCGCGCCGCACTTCCGAGAAGCCGACGCGCACCGCGCGTTGAGCAAGGCCGCGGAGGTGGCGATCTGCGCAAAGGTCAGCTCCTGAGGCGAAACCATCGAGCGCTAGGGGTTTCGACTTAGCTGGTGTCCAGTACCTGGAGGTTAGTTCAGGGGTGCCTAGTTCAGGTTGAGTTCAGGTTTAGTTGAGTCAGAATGATCTAGAGCAAGTGTAACATTGCATTGAAAAAGGCGGTATAGGTACCCCTGAATAGTGAGTAGGAATCAGTCACAAACGACCAAGTCATGCCTAAGTTACTCATTTTCTCTGTGGCCATAATGTGTTTCCCAATGTAAATGCTAGTCTCAGAAAGTCATGCCTAAGACATGTCTTAGCAACCTGTCCTCTAGCCTATCCAATACGTACAAAATCACACATATACGTACAAAATCACACATATTTTTAGGAAAAGGGTGGGCCACAGGGTCTATGTGCTAAGTTTGACAACACAGCACGTGGCGATTCCAGGAATCATCTCCCAGATATATTCTAGACTGCTCAAAATGGAGGGTTGGCGAATCCTAATCCATAATCCCTATAGGGAAGCCACTACAAAGGGGATCAAATCCTTGCGCAACCGAAGGTAAGGATCTTGCTGATAACCCAGATATCCACATATCCCCGCTTGAGCCTCGACTCAAGAACCATCTGGAGCACCTCTACCTCGTTAGTTGGCATAACGATAGCTTAGCATGGGAACCATTTTAAGGAAATAATGCAACTATATCCGTTGTGATGCGTGCTGAAATTCGCTGATACACCCACAGCTGTTTAGAGTTAAGTCCCGCAAACTGCATACGGCCGGTTCTCCTGATTTCAAGCATGCTCTTGTCCCTTGTTCCCTGACAGTTTCCGCACGAAAGAAGCGTCTCACAACTCAGTTGCCCAAAGGTTTCCAGAAGTAAAAGGCTCGCCTTTTGGGGCCATGACCAAACATTGATCCCTACAGGCTTTACTCCGGTGCTCGTTTTCTCGAGGCTCCGTACTTTCCTTGGTTGGTTGTTCAAGGCAAACCGAAAGGAACACCAGCTTCCATTTGCTTCTCGCCCCCTGGAACAAATGAGAAAATATGTCCAGTATATAGTGATAGATTCCCTTTAAAGCCAACAAGGGAAAATAACAATCATTCATTTCAGCAAATGGAAGCCACCGTTTTGGGATTCCAACACTCATACCCACAGCGCAACAAGCTTCGACTCTGATGAGCACCTACCTCTTGCAATAGTACAATTCTCAGATCCACCGCTTGGTCTGAACGAACCAACGTCAGTCTTGACCTAAACTTCCCCTGGCCTCAGAAATTGGGCGATTCGCTCACAACACGAATGCGTCTTTTTTGGGGGTACCCTTTTTTGGGTTGCTTTGAAGGGGAACCAAGCGCAAACAGAGGCCCATTTGAGGGCTTCCCAATTCAGAGACAAGCCCGTAGCATTCGCTGTGAGTCGTCGTTCACCCAGTCAGGGACGCCGTTCAGCCACGCGCAGCAGGCCGCTGCCACAGCAACGGCTGCGGCTTTCTTGGAAAGGCTCGCCTGGGCCAAAGCGACGTTCTGCATGGTGATTTGGGCGTGTGTGTTTTCTGAGTTGGTGCCCCTTTTAGGTGCTTTGAAAGGGAAACCAAGAGGAAAACCGAAGCCATTTTAGGTGGTCCGATTCCTAAAGCACGACACACTCATTGTATTCTCTAGAAACCTGGACAACCAGGCAGTTCCACAGGAAACAGCTCGAATTTGAACGCCTGGCCAATTTCCAGCGGAAAAGCCTGGAGCTGGCTATGATATTCATTGAACTCATAAACCACCTTATAGAACTCCGTGTATCCCCTTAGCTCCCCCGTAGAAGGCAAATTTGGAAACCCCAGCTTTGCAGCTGCTGCCTTCCAATCACCAAGTCACAGCGGAAGTTTCGTCACCCGATTTGATATGTGTTATTGTCTTTAATGGCCTTCATGTTGTGGTTGGCCGGGAATCATAGAGTATGTGAAAACATGCGTTCTGCCAGTGCCTACGTTGAGCGGGGCCAGAAGGACACCAGCAAGCCAGAGATGCTAAAACCTTATACTAACTTGAGCTCCAAAAGTTGCAGGATTGTGCCTTTGGAATGCATGTCAGCCACCGCAAACCGGCGTGCAACCTCCAAGGATTCAACTCAAAGCAGGCAAGCACCCACCGAAGGCTCCACGGAATCCGTCCAAGACGGCGAATCTCTAACTCTGACGAAGTTTTCTTAGGGCTGCGTAGATTTTTCCGTTTCTGGTCCTCTCCGCCCGGACCAAACTCGACTTCAGCTGTCGTCCAAGTCACGTGTCCTAGAAAACAATATTGGAGGAGGAACAAGGGGACCTCTTGATACTTTATATGCTGCTTCACTGCGGGATAGCGGGATAGATTGCACTGCGCGAATGCCCTACACCGGAGTAAATGCGTTCACCCAAGTTTCGATAAGTTCAATGTGCTGGACTGGGAGCAACCAACACCAAAAACAAGTTCATCTTGGTTCTTTCTGAGACACTGGCCTCGCCCTTTTTCGCGCCCGAACCCCGCCAGCAGCAGCAGCGGCAGCGAGCAGAAGAGGACTTGCAGCTCCGAGCGCAGGCGTTGGAGGTGCCGGCAATCTGGCAAACTCAAAGCGAGGGCGGTTCACAGCCCAAAAGGTGCTCATCAAACGAAATAAGGGAACACCAAATAGGCAAAACTTGAATATTTGGAACCAAACGACAAAATTTGGACCAAGATTGGAAAACAAATAAGTCAAAAAGGTCGGAAGTGGACAACTGCATCTTTTGAAAAGCAACACTGGACAGGTCTGAATTGGACAACTCTTGTTTTAGAAAGGGGAACCATGGTCAAGCCACTACCGAGTAACGGCTAGGCTTGCTGTTGGCCCCCTTGCATTCAAACGATTCAACCCGTTCTCCCGGCCCGCAGAGGACCAAAAGGAAAGCAAACTTGCCATTATCAAACCCGCCATCATCACATCCTCACATTGTGGTTCCCATACGAAGCCTCCCCGTGCCCCGTGGATTATCAGGCGTTTCAACAAGTAACGTAACCCTTCGATCCATGTTCCATTTGTCTTCTTAAGGGTTCGCTTGCTTACCTATATGTATGTAGGTAACTGCAATCACTGGGGTGGTTTTCCAAAATCCTTACCGAAGCGGGCTCTGGGGAGAATGCTGCTTCCGCCCGCTGGCGTATATTTTCATCGTGGGCTGAAACGAGGAGTCACCCAGAGACATTGTGTCGATAGAGAAGTAGCAGACCTAAGAACGCACACCTAAGAGAGAAGGGCAAGATGTCACCTGCGCCAGGTTTCCGGAAAACAAACCTGTCATTGCAACCAAGTACACGATTTTTTTCCACGATATTCGCCGAACCCAACCCAAAAACCACGTATTTCCTGTAGCTGGCATCTCGGAACCTGGCAAACTCGAGTACATGACCAGAACCAGCCGCACCAAAAAAATCACCCGAAAGTCCTGAAAAGGTACCAGCAACCACTTGGGAAGGCAAGCCGAAGCTGGGACGAACATATGCGTCAAGACTGAGGGGACTTTTCTTCGGCGGTTTTTATAGGAGGACCTAAGACAACCCATCTGAGGTCCAGGTTCAAACGCTGGCGTGGTGTTAGAAGCCATATTTGTCGCTTTATGTGACTGTCCGCAAACAGGGAACCTAGCTTCGAATGATCTTCAACAGGGAAGGGAAATCACAAGGACATCGGCAATTTTGAGGGGTCCAACTAAATATGAGACACACTCATGTCTAGCTTCCTGCACAGTGTGGCCACCGAACAAGAATGGCCCCTCACTTTCTTGACACGCAAGCAGCTTTCAAGACTTCACAACTCTTGGTATGGTAGCATACAACTTTGTGTTCTGCAGCCCCCTGCTAAAACTCAGCAAAACCCAACAAAGAAGGAAAAACATAAAAACAATGGCGTGCCAAGCACAGGAAAGAAGATGCAACTCCGATATCGCTAGATCCGCAGCTCTGGAACTCTCCATTCGGCGTTTTTGTTTCTCTTTCTCAGAACCCTCTCGCAGGCTCCGAGAGGCTCAGTTCGGACATGGTGACATCCTTCCTCGCACTACTTGGTGCTCAGGGAATGAGAAATGTTTTCCTAGGGTTCCCATGTCTTCTGCCAACGTGCATAATGACCCAAGAAACAACCTGTTTCCTGTGGTTTCCTTTCTTCGGGACTTTGGGGGGGAGTCCTTTGGCTGACCCCTTACACCGGTCTCGGACATTCTTCTTGCCAGGAACCCTGGCCACAGATTCTTCGTCAGACATGGAACCCCGAGACAAAGACTCCTGGAGCTTTCCGAAAAAAGCAGAACACCCCTTTTCAGTTCATTCCCAGAACCTGGACTCGTCATTCCGTACTCACGCCAGCGCCGGAGCCATCTGCACTTTTTATCAAGGGAGACCCAAACCTGAGGGCACCCCAATTCACGTGGAACCCTTCGATGTTTCGTTTCGGGGGGGTGCTGGTTTGGACCATTTCCTGTTAGGGACCGGGTCCCTTTCAGGTTCCACGTGAAATTGCTGGGAGGGCATCACCTCGTTTTACCCCCGCTCGCCATGAGGGAAAATGTTTGAAAATGGGTGGCTCCGTTGGTTTTTTGAGGGTGCCCCTTCTTTTTGGGGTTGGTTTAAAGGGACGCCAAAAGGAAAACACTGAATGTAAACAACAAGAAAACATTTTTTTTTGGGGGGTGCCCTTGAAAAAGACAGGCCCACATCTTGCTGGTTCTCCGAATCCAATCCAAAATCCAGCCTCGGCCATGCAAGAGGATCTCAAGCCTTGCGGCGTGTTTTCCCCGGGACAAGCTCAAGCGCCCAAGGGCTTTTCATAGGCTTCTGGATTGACACGCCACCCACGTTGTTTGGTATTATTCTTGTTGTTTTCTAATTCTGTTCAAAAAACAACGGGAACGGAAAGCAATGCTTGAGATAAGCCGCTAGGAGCTCCTGTCCCAAGTAAAATATATGTCCAACGGGTTTATTCGGGTGGCCTCTGATTCGTGAACATCGGCTTCCTTGACTGGGACGGAATGGAAACCAATTCGGATGGTGTATCTCGGGGTCATTCCGTTTCCGTTTCTCATTCCCTTTAGCACCAGCGAGCAACACCCCTTTCAAAATAGGTATGCCTGGATTCTTCAAACGACATGCTGTTTTCCCGAACAGGGGCAAGAGTGTTGACACGTGCAACGGCAAATTGTCTACCCTTTGAACTCACCCATCACATGGGCTGAAGCTGTTGGCCCCACCGAGCGGCGGCCGAGCACCCGATGCCCAGCGAGCGCCTCCCCTGACCTCCGGAAGGTGTCCCGTGCCCATTGGGGTCAGAGTCAACACCCGGGTATGGTCCATCCCCATGCGAAGCTCCGACGTTTGTGTAAGGCCCCTCCCATTAAAGGCCCAAGGCAACAAGCAGCCGTGCTACACGAACCTCACTTGAGTCATCAAAACCCGGTATTAACATGGCCGATCCCCAGAAACATGCGAAAAATTACCCAGGCGAAGGCACTAACCTTCATCAATCCCCAGGTTTTGAGGCCGTGGCTCATTTGGGAAGACCAAACCCAATTATCTGACTGAGTCAAAATGGGTCAAGGGTCCAAAAGGCACACATAAGAGCACCTCCCCTGACATACTCCTACTATGAAAGGCCTTTTGGCTTGGTCAAGGGTCCAAAAGGCAGCATACTCCCACTATTCAAGCCCCCCCCGCTTGGGAAGATCGAACCCAGTTGTCTGACGCCAAAATCGGATCCAACGGCCAGGGAGCCAGGGCTCCTCCACCTCATGGAAGCACCTGGACCAGGTCTGGTACCACGCGCCCTGGGAGAAGACGTTCACCGTAAGCCTAACGGCTGAAAAGGCCAATGGCAATGGTCAGAACATGTGTGGCAAAAAATGGAGGGATGATTGTTTGGTTGTTTGTTTGTTTGCTTGCTTGTCGGGGTGGGAATTTGGAGGCGTTTGTGTTCTGGCCTACTCCAACTCCTGACACCTGTCTCCTGACTCTTACTCTTCTTTGGATGATTCATGGGGTATGAATAAGGTTAATTGTACTGGGTCAATCCTGGGATGTTTGTTTGTGAGGGATTTGGAGGGGTTCGCAGTTTTGACTGCAATTCACAAGCGGGAAACCGGAAACACCAAGTAAGGTCCCTTTGTGGGTTTTCATTCCTAACCCACCCACCCCCGCTCAAAGAAAAGCGCGAGCTCGTCATGATTTGATTGTAAATCCTTTCGTCGGGGGAACCTAGTCACCTAGTCACCGAGAAAAAGGTTTGACCAGGACCATTAGATTCACCGAAAACGCACAAGGCTACAAACTCACATTTGATCAGGACCAACGCGCTAAGGAGAGACATGAGGGCCCCTCCTCGCCCCCCTTGGCCCACATCTGGGGTTGCTGGGGTACACAAACAACAATAGTTCCAGACTCTGTTCCATAGTCGACAAACTTAAACCAGTCTTGGCGGAGACCCAAACCCCAATCAGCGGTTCGGACAAAACGATTGGGTGAATATAACTATCACTGTATTTGTCGTTTAGGAGTTTCATCATCTAAAGCTCGGGTCAACCAAGGCCATTCTTTTCAGGGCTTGCCTTTTCCACTGACATGAACCGCATCCCTCGAAAAGCGTTTCTACCATGGGGGCTGTTTTCTTCCACAAGCGGCGGAAAAGGCCAGCATATACATTTGTGATTGTCTTTTTACTTGACCTTTCATCTTAAAAATCAGGTCAAGCAACAAAAAGGCAACAAATCCATGATTGTCGTTTTATTCATCTGAAACTGGGGTCAACCCTAAAATGGCCATCCTTTGAATGGGAATCGGTTGAACCCTTCCAGGGTCACCCGCCGCCCGCTCCGGATCGATCCGCCGGATCGATCTGCCTGGCGGCCTGGCGCGTGGCGAGGCAGCAGGCGGCGAAGGCGAAGGCCAGCTGCAGCACACGCAGCGCCGCGGCCTACGAAAGTTGCTGCGAAATGCGTATATAGGGTGTGGGGTGGAATGCACCGGTTTTGGGGATTCCCGAATAAAGGAAACCACAAGTCGGATCATTTATAGGGAAGGGGATTCCCTGAAAGGAAACCACAAGTTGGATGATTTATATAGGGGTCATAGGAAACCACAAGTCGAAAGTTGCTGCTGCGACAAGTAGCTCAGATGCTTAGTGTGGCCAAAAGAACTGCCCGAGGTCACAAGTTTCTTATCGATTGCGAGACTCAGATGCTCAGTGGATCTCCGTGAGAAAAAAGAATTCGGCATCCAACTGTGTTGGCCATGGGAAGAAAAAAAAAACACGAAAATCCGCATCCTCTTTTGGTTGGTTGAGTTTAAAGGGGAACCCTTCCCCCAAAGAAATGGACAAAAGGGCGCCACTTTGCAACAGGGGTAGGGAATGTGGTTGAATGAACCCGTTTTGGGGATTCCCGAATAAAGGAAACCACAAGTCGGATCATTTATAGGGGTCATAGGAAACCACAAGTCGAAACTTGCTGGTGCGATAAGTAGCTCAGATAGTGGCCATGGCTGGTTCAGGCAAGTCAGATGGTAGCCTCGGATGCTCAGTGGATCTCCATGGTGTTCCCCTTGTTGATTGGGAATTTGGGGGGCCCCGACACCCACCCTATTAGGATGGGCTCTACTTACATCCGTCTAAATGTTCCAAGCTCCAGCTTTGACTTGCTGCGAAATGGGTAGGGAATGTGGTTGAATGGAAGGGGATTCCTTAAAATGAAACCACAAGTTGGATGATTTATATAGGGGTCATAGGAAACCACAAATCGAAAGTTGCAGCTGCGACAAGTAGCTCAGTGGCCAAAAGAACTGCCTGAGGTCACAAGTGTCTTCCAAATAAATGGAAAGAAGGGCGCCAAAATCGGCAACAGAGGTGGGGAATGTGGTTGAACGAACCGGTTTTGGGGATTCCTAAATGAAGGAAATTACCAGTTGGACTATGCATACGGGTCACTCCATGAGCACCACCAAGAAGGGTGGAATGAACGTGCGCGGGGGACCCCCCATACATTGGCCACCGCAACGCACATAGGTGGCAAAAATGAAGGGAAGGGCAACCTCGGCTGGGAAATGGGTGGAATGAACGGGGCCACCGGAAAAAAAAAAGGTGGAACACAGGAAGGGAAGGGCATCCCAAAATTGGCGAACCCCTCCGACTTGGGATTTCGAAGGGTTTTGAACAGACTCAAAGTTCAAGCTTGGTTGCTGCAACGACCCCTCTCCAAAAAGTGAATAACTTTTTGTGGCTATGGACAATCCGAGCTGTTTCAACCAAACAATCCAACCAAGTACCCAGAAAGAAATGCTGTGTTTTGGGTGGTTGATTTTTTTAGGTCCACGCGACTGCAGTTTCCAAATATCGATTTGCTGAGGTTCCCCTGTTCTTGGTAGGCTTCTTAGTTCTCGAGTTTACTTATCACTTGGAACATTTGGGGAGGCTAGGGATTCCCAAAGATTTAGACTCATTTTTGAGAGTGGATTGAAAGGTAAACCCGTTTCCATAATTTGACACATATGCAAGTGCCTTTGGGGGGTCAAGCCTCTGATTGTTGTTGGAATGCTTCTGCGTTTGAATCCGTTTGTCTAGGACTGATCACGTATTCTGGAGGGGGCTAACATAGCAGGCCTCTAGCGGCTGAATACTTTCTCATTATCTGTCAACCATCGTTCTTTTCAAACACCAGGCGGGTTCCCTCGTTGTTGGGTCATTTTCTGAAAAGACGGATCTGTGGAAAGAATGGGACAGCTACCCCTGGATCAATGGATGCCTTTTACAAGTTGGGGAAGGACGGGTTCCAAATGGGCTGTGGCAAATGGGTCGGTGTTACGTGTTGCTCTTGTGAAGGCTTCGCCTTGGTTGGCGGTTTGGTTTGAAGGTGCAGCCCAAGACGAGGAATCTGGACAATGGGTAGAAGTATATCTCAGAGGTCCGCTTTTTGGTTGAACAAGGCAAAACAAAGGGAAACTACGCATGTTGAGGGTTCAACAGTATCCCTCAAATCTCCGTACTCAGGGGGCGTACCTGGACCCTTTAAAACCTCGAACGGCCTGTCCTCAGAAGGTGCGTGCTCTAGATTGGATCCATCGTCTGCTATCAGGAACCCAAGGAATTGTACACGGGCCCGGAATCGCTCTTAAAGTACCCCCAGCTGAAAGCGCTCTCGATGAAGCAGGCAGCTTCATACAGATCTCCACCGGCCATACAATGCCCATCCCCAACTGAGGCCTACTTCCGGAGAAGTATAATTCAAAATGGTCCAAACCACCCCCCGAACGTCAGGTTCCCCGTTTTATTGGGAGGGTAACTTTTCGGCCCGGAACAACCGGCCCGTCCATCGACCAAATAGCCACAAGACGTGGTCTTGTGTTTGGGGTGCTCTGCCAAAGTTTGCCACACGTTTGTTGCTAGGATGAGGATGACTTAGCTGCCCTTACGCTTTATCTCTGAATGGGTGAACCCAAAATGGACTAGGCAGGACTGTCTTTGTTTAAGGAAACTCTTTTCAGGGTTTGAACAAGGGGAAAACACCTTTCTTGCAACCCCTATCCTAAGTCACACCTGTTTCTCTTGGACTTGCTTCACGACAACACCGAAAGGCGTCTCGGTGGCCACAAATGCATACTTGTAGCTACTAAGTCGTGACCGCCTCCGAAACCCTGATCAAAAATAAAGGCAGTGTTGGGCAAAAACTGTGTAAAAGCAACCAACCCCTGGTCCAATTCTTTCAACGGAAAACCAAAGAAGGTTTTGTAAACAGTTTGGCGGACTAAACATGGTTTTGAAGGCTTGAAACACCCCGTGCTGCCCGTCCCTTTTCTTGGCCCAAATCTGGGGCACACACAAACACTTTTAGCAGGGGGTTAGGATTATAGGCTGGTTTAGGGTTGGTTTGGGGGGGTTGGCTTAGGGCTGCTTTAAGGTTGTTGGGTTTAGGGTATGGTTGGTTTAGGGTCGGGTAATCAAACCTGAGACCTTGGTGTCGATCGATGAGATCGGCCTGGCAGGCTTGGCCCAAACTCCGACAGCTCGCCAGGCGCAGCAGCTGAAGCGCCAACTGAGCCTGGCGCTTAAGACATCGAGGGCATCTTAGCCTCGGGTGACCCCGGGCTTTGGTTTACCCCGCTTCTTGGGTTTACCCCGCTTCTTGGGTTTTCAAGAAAGAACCAAAGGCATTCCACCATTTTAAAGGGTCCAAATGGAAACAAAACACGGCCAACACGAATTCAAAATACAATCATACGGCTTGGTGTGGGTGTGTTCTCTAGAAAGCAACACACACGCACATTCGATTGTCTGAACTATGCAGGGTCCCCTTACTTGGTGCACGGAGCTTTTCTGGTCGACGACTTTCCTTGTGAAACAGGACGCTAGCGATTTGATACCCTCCCCCAAACTAACATAGAAGCTCCCACCCCTTTGGAAGACTTGGTGACCCAGCTACCAAGGCCTTCTGGAAGCTTCCGGCATCCGGCTGGTAGTCTAAAAAGTACCTGTACAAAGAAGATTCCTCTACACATGGTTAATGTTTCTGCGCTCCAGTTTGGATGGAACTGCTGAGCTTATAACCGGGGGTGTCCAGGGGTTTATGAAGCAGGGGGGTTCTGAATTTACCAGCAGTGTATCAATCCCAAGTTCCCATAAGTTCATGATTGTCAAATATGGTTCAGGTCGAACCTATCATGGTCATCAGGCGCCTGATGATGCATTGTTTCCTTCAGAAATATGGGTCTCCCTTACCAGCGGCAAAGCGACTTAAGGTGACTTATGGTCCATTGTCTACTCGGTGTTGAATCCAACATACTCAAACAAATCAGCAAGACATGAGTTATGTACCACCTTTGGCCAGTCACAGTTCGACATCTCGAGATTCCCTGGTGGATTTTTGTTTGGGCTTTATTACTCTGGCTCGAAATCAGCAAAACGTTCTGTGGACAACATCTTGCACCAGTTGGGATGGATGAAACTCTACTGTGATAAACCAACTACCAACCTGCTCAGGATTTCGTTCATCCACAAGGGGGGTTTATCCCTACATGTCCCCTCTGCACATCACCCCTGCCAAGGCAAACCCAACTTGAATGCAGAACAGGTCAGGTGATGTTTGAGACCAAAAAGGTTGGACAAATAGGGACCCCTGAAACATAGGAGCTCGAATTCCAGGAGCTCAGAGTTTACTTCTTTTTTCGGATTTGATCAAAGGGACACGCCCTCCGGAAAAAGGGCAAACACAGGAAACGGGGCACTTCTGTTCCACTGAGTGTCTAAGCGTAAATTCCTCCAGGGTCAACGGCGGGGGTCAATTTTTGATTAAGCCGCTGAAGACTCAGTCACGGATTGGTATGTTGATTAAGCCACGGATATGTCCGGATTGATCCGTGAAAATCCATCCGGTTGATATGTCCGGATTGAAAACCCCTGGGTTCCAGCCTGAAGAAGCAAAGATCCGCTTGTTCACAGCCGACTTCACTAGTCGACGCTCACTCGCCCTTCAGCCTGCACAGGAGAGCACTCTACCGGTGGGTAGCTAAAACAAATGGAAGCCTATGGAACCCCGCATCCCGGTGCGACCCGTCCTGGAGCGCGAGCTCTCCCACGCTTCGTGCCAGCGCGAACATGGGCAAGTGCTGGCTGTGCCAGTCGTACATCTGCCAACGCGTGTAGAGCATCACCTGAAAAAAAAAACACTGGGCGGGTGTGTTTACTTGGAAGGTGCATTTTTTTGGGTATAGTCAAAGGGAATCAGCAGGAATCGACCAAATTTTCTGGCGTCCGAAACAAGCTTGATTTGCCTTCATTTGCAAATTCTCCCTAGACCCGGTTGCAGCCAGGGACCCTGGTAGAAAGTTCAGACACGTGCTCCCCTCCCCCATCCATTCTAAGAAGCTTCATCCAGGAACCTCAAATGAAACAAGCCTCATGAGTGATGCCATCAACCTCCGGCAGGTGACGTCGCGATAAATTCCCCCAGCAAACCAATCAACCGCCAGCCACTGGAGGGGCTAATTCATTCGAGTGGCTTTGATTTGCTGCTAACCCATATGCCCCATCAAGTAACTTGCCTGTCTACAGCAACATACTACAGCAATACTGAATTCCCAACCCCCTTCATCCATCCCAAGTGGTGCGAAGCGTATCTTCGTCATGCACAGAAGGGTTGCTTGAGGGTCAACTCAAGTCCGGCGTCTCTTCAAAAGGGCTTGAGCAAAAAATGGGTGTGTTGAACTGCAAACGAGAATCATGTGTTGCCAAGGGCAACGGACCTCGTCAAAGAACGCCTCTGACTCTTCATGTTCTTCCGACAGGAACCTGCTTCATGGTGCACAAAGGCCAGGTACTCCCGCACAGACCAACATGACCCCCCCAAAAAGCGGCCAGCCTTGAGGAGTCTACTTTTTGAAGTCCTCCCTGGGGTTCCGCGCTCAAGTTAGCACCTGTAACAGGGGATCACGGTGAGATCGTTTCTCCCCCTGAGCTCCCCATATCTTTGTCAATCTGCAGGCTTTTCATACATCCAGAAACCACCTGCCTTGAAAGGATTTGGGTTCCCCCTAGGCCCTAAATCAGCCGGCGAGGTTGATTTGTTTCGCTGGCCCAACTATCTCCTCTCCCTGAAACAAGTTCCTGCGGACTTCTCCGCACGGCCTGCGGATTGATTTCGCCGTTGCTCCAACGCCTCAAAGGCACCCGCCCAAAACCCCAGCGGCGCGGGAGGCGCATACGCCCTCGCCTCCCCAGCGCAAACGGCGACCAGCAAGCAGATCTGCGCCCCCGGTCCGGACGCCTTCAGAGACGTGTGTCAGAAGCGGGACTTGGTGCATGGCCATGGGTCCAAACCCAAATCGTACCCCCAGTGAACATCCCATTTTTTACTAGAATAGAGTAAAATGGGTGGTGCACCTGCCCCGAAATGGGATCCAACTGGTGTTGACCCAGACCCACCTGGATTCGTCTTCCTTTCGATGGCTTGGATTGGATTGGTGGTCCGGGGATTCCCATCTCTGCAACAACCAAACCTTCCAATCCCAAACCACCAACTAAGGCTAAACTGATGGTTCCCATGCTGTGGACGAACTGGGAGTAAGTGATACCCAACATACAGCAGGTGCGAAAAGAACGAGGAACAAGTTTGCGTTGGTCTACAGCGGACCCCTCGGTGTTTGCAACCCCAAACCTGCTTTTGACCTCCATGTTACCTTTTGCGTTGTGGGCGAACCGAAAACCGGGTTGGGGTCAAAATCGAAAATATGTGATTTAAAGAACACAAAAGAAGCAAGGATCCCTATCAAAACAGTGTGTCGAGTCCCGCAAATGCGATTCCCACCCGTATTGCATGCCAGAAGCCGCTGTGCTTGGGGTTCGCAGGGATAGTCATGTAGCCCTTAGGCACTGTAAACAAGCAGGCTAGTGAGAGAACCATGGCCATCACAATTGTTGGGAGTTTAACACATGAAACTCCCCTCCCACATTCAGAGCAGGCACTCCAACCCCAGAATATCTGAGAAAGTTTCTGGAACCTTCTTGAGATTTCTCAGAAGAGGTTCCTCTGGGAACCAATGCCATGACCCCAAAAAAGGGTTCCGAAAGAAAAAACACCCGTTTGAATCACCCCTAGTTTTTGTTACGTTTCCCTTCCTTGCTTCCCGGTCGTTAACCCCATAAAGGGGGCCCATTTTGGATCAACCCCCCGCCCAAAAGCGAATGCCATGACCCACGCTTTGCATGTTGCGACTCGGGACCTGAGCCCTCGCCCGCGCCTTCTGACCCTCCGAAACGCCGAGAAGGCAAAGCAGCAGGCCGACGGCCAGGCCTGAAGCACTGAAGCACAGCACTGGGTGGGAACTGGGGGCGTCTTCGGAAGGCCCAAGAGCCCCGGGTTTCCCAACGCAAGCTCCGCCCAAAATAAGGGCAAAGTAAAACCAGCCCCCCAAACAAAAACAAAAAATATCTGGAAGAGTGGACTTAAACCAACAAAAAACAGGGGGGCCCAAAGAAACCCAACAAAAGAAGAAACCAGCGGCCCAGCCGAAGGTTTCTCAGGGCCTTTTTCGATCCTAAAGAAACTTGGTGCCCGGAACCTCTTCGTGAATGGTTCGCCACAAAACTGCCGGGCTCGCCACAAAAACAGCTACAGTCAGGTGGGTTCTTGTGGAACCCAGCCCTGCGGAATATTCAAAGACCAAACGACGAAAGGCCGAGGTTTGCCTCCAGGGCTCCAAGCCCAAGGTAAACCTGGCTCAGGGCGTCCAAAAAAAGCCCGGGGTGTCTTCCGGGAGTTGGGTTCAGTGCCTTTGTGAGTCTCATGTCTCAGAGGCTTCCGAGTGGACTCAGTCTGGGCTTTATCTGGCGATCGGTGCGATACTTGCGAGTGCGATAGGTAGGGAATGACCTTCCGGGTGTTGGGGTCATGAGCCGGTTTGGGGGGATTCCCGAACAAAGGAAACCACAAGGGATTGTTAAAAAGCGCTCATTCCCTCACTGCTGATCAGCGGCAATATGGGGAATGACCTTCCGGGCGTTGGGGTCCAAAAAACCCGGAATTTGGTCGCATTCCCGGGAAAGAATGGACTTTTCATCTCCTCGCTGGGCTTCCTCGGGGCATTTTTCCATTTCTCCTTCGCCGATGGAACCAGCAAGTTGCATACTCCACTTGGTGTGATGGGCAGTTGCAATGACCCTGGTTCAAACCCTCCAACTGGTTTCTTCCTTGGGGATCCCAACACGGTTCATTCCCAAACCCCGAACTTGATCCCCTGAGAAACAGCAGGCGAATCAGCAAACATATCAAGTGAGATCCAAGGCTCCGCGTGAGAATTTAGCTGCTTCCCCAGGAGAAGATGGGCATGTGAGCTTTCTGGTTTTGGTTGAAATCTAGAGCCCGTCCCTACCCCACATACCATCTACGATGGGTGTTTCCAAAAAATGCCTGGTCATTCTTTCCGGTGGCCCTCTAAAACTCCTCCAAGGGGTACCTATGGAAGCCGCATACCTCGAGCCAGCCGCCATCGGAAGATGCGCGTGGTGCCAGGGCGCCGAGTTGCCAAATCTCCGGCGCTCGGAGATCCTCAAAGCCCAGCTGGTGGTACCTCAGACGCGGAGCGCCCAGCCGAATATCGGACGCGTCGCAGCACACATATAAGACATACGATGGATCACTCGCACCACTCTAAAACAGGCCTCAAGCCCTCAATCTTCTTCTATAGTGACCCCACACTGTACATCGTAATCACCGAATAGCAACCACCATAGTTGCCAAACCACAAATTAATACCAATTGAATTCAATTATCTTTATATATGACCGTTTTGCTTTCTTCTTCTTTTCTAATCATATTCAAATACGCCCTCTTTTCATATACACACCTTGCCATCAATCAATCATCAAATTACATTATATTAAATATACTATCATCAACCAAACCAACAATTCCCTTAACTCAACCTTTCATTTATCCTTAAACTTATTTTGTACTACACGGGGTGACACGCAGTGACACACAAGTCCATGCGTGTCACTATTCAGAACTTGCTTGCTACTGCGTCTCACTGGCAAGTCATGACCACGGGCATCCCGCAAAACAAAACAGGACAGTAGCTTTTCTAACTACGGTCTTCTTCAGAAAATTCGATCTGCCGGTCACTGGGCAGTAGTCGAAGGGTGCTTGAAGGGTATCGTTTTTTTGAGCGTCCCCTATCGTTTGCCATAGTTTTCTGCATTCCCGCAACATCAATGAAACGCCGAATACTAAATTCAACAGAAGTAATTTGGACGGTGCTTCGTATGAATATATATATATATATATGTATTTAAAAAACAATGCAATTAGTTCTAAAATGATAGTATAATATAGCGTAATCAATCGATTAAATCTATATCCCTAAAAGAAACATGATTATACACCATCAAGTTTTCATTGTTTATAGCTCCACCCTTCTTTTCATATGCCGGAAAGCTTAAGTCTTTCAACCCTGCTTCAGGTATCACATGAGGTCATGACAGCCCTGCCATGCCAGTGACCTTTCATCCAGTGTTGAGTTATCATTTGCCGTAGATTTGCTGTACCCTGTGATATATTTTGGGGCAAACATATATTGAGCCTGAGTCAGGCTGAGGGCTTGGCTTCAATCGATGCAAGCGAGTAATGTATATATATATAATGCATTGCAGAGCCGGTCGAGCCGCAACATGCGACGCACCTAGCGGCAGACCTCCCATTCCAGAACTCCCTACGCGAAATGGAGGCCTCCGCACTTCCTCCTCGCAAGGTCGCCAGCTTCCTATGAGGGTGCCCATTGCCTCGGAACGTTCCGCACCACAAACCCCCACTCTTGCGACTGAAGGGAATGATCCTCCCTGGCCTTAGTAGGGTAACCCCGAGTAGGGTAGCCTTAGTTACAATGTTCTGGGTCGCTGAAATGCCGCTTTCTCCACGCCGATGTTGGCAGCTCACTCGAACTACGGCGGACTCATCGGTGGCAAATATCGGAAGTGACATGTGCTTGCCGTGCCATCTTAGACCGGCTGGGTATGGATATAGCAAGAATGTCAACTTAGCAACTGTTGCAAATGTTAAGATCAGATATGGGTGTGGCTCAAAACTAAAGACCTAGGGTTACGCAGGTTTTCGTCTTTGATTCCATTTGCCAAGGTGCCATTTTAGTACATTTATTTGAGCCACAGACACATTGTTAGAGCGATTGTTGGACATGGGGCCTTCCAAAAATGCAACCAGCGGCCAGCATCCAGGATCCACAAAACCAGCGGCAACTGAGCAAAGCGAGATTTCTTCCAAAGCATCAGCAAGTCAAAGACCTAGTGGCTGCGACCAGCATTGCTTCCGTCAGCAACTGCTCTATGGGATATTGAAGCCATGTGGTCAAAACATAGGCTTTACATAAGCAACTATTGCATACATGCAGCATTTGGGCATGTTCATCGTGTCCGTCTCAGTCGCTTCATGACAAAATACAGTGTTCAAGCCACGGTTTCTGGATTGCCAAGTGCTGCGGCATAGTGTTCACGACCCAATGTTCACGTTTTTTCGCCGTGGGTAAAACGATGTGAGGCTGTGACAGGAAGAAGCTTGGTCTGCTGAATTAAGGGACGCTACGCTGCAGCGATGTTTCGTAAAGTTGGCTTCTAAGGTGATAATAATTCCCTTGAAAAGTGAGTGTATATCCATTTTCTTCAGGGAACATCCCAGTTTTTCCGGACCGAAGTTTAGGGAATCCACGAGACGGCTTAGGAGCGGCCCCGGGGGATTTGTTCCAACCCAACTTTGATCCGGCTCGGGCTACGTTGTGCTTACGTTGTCCCAGCGTGCTATGCCACCGCCTCCGGGCGCCGACACAGCTTCACACTTTCAGCCTTGCCTCGGATCGAGTGAGTCTACTGAGGGCTCACATATGCCATGCGGTAGAGGTCAGGGGGCGACAATGAAACACCAATGACCTCAGCATGCTTCTTGTGGAAACACATCGCCACACGCTGTTGAGACACGGTGTCCATGCTGATCGTCACTTTGGCATCGCTGTGCCCCGCCAAATCCAAAAGACAGTCCTGCAATGCACCGGGATTCTGGTTGTGTGCAAACCATGCGTTGACATCCTCTTCGGCTTCACTGAGTGAGAGCTGCAACTCCTCGAACTCATGGACAGTGTTGTGTCCGGAGATGCAACTCTGAACCCAATGAACGCTGGACCAGGAGACAAGAATCAAAAGGATAAGCTCAATCAGGCACATGACGATGAGGCCTCCAAGCGTTTTACAGCTGAGGGTGAAGCGAACAGCACATGGGATCACGAAGAAGGCACCATTCCACCAAAAGAGGTATGGTATGCGGGTTCCACTGCCAATATTTCGCAAGAACTCCTCAACACCGGCATCTGTTTCAATCTCCCCCACGCATAGCAGACCAATGACGCTGACAATCGTTGAGCAAAGGTAACCAAGGCTGCTAAGGACATAGCATATGAGGGACAGGTCATGTAGGGCCGGCATCGTGCTCTGCACAGAGTCTTCACCTTGCTGCTGTCCGATCCAGCCATCCAAATAAGCAAAACCACTTCCAACGTAGTCCTCCTCCAGCCAGTCCGTGACATGGTCGAAGGCCATTGGCACCACGATGGTGAGCATGAGCGCACTGACTAGACCCATGTTGGTGCATTCATTCACCAAGTTCGCCCGCGCGGAACTTGACGCACCTTTGTCCTCCATGACAATGTTGTCCGAGAGTACCAAGAAACGGCCAGTGACCACTGAAACACATGAACTGAGAAAGCCAGTTGGAGTCTTCTTATTTCCGGTCTTTCCCACACGCCTGTGGGGCAAGTAATCTGCCACACGGCCGATCATGACTGAGCTCTTTGATATCTCCTCAGCTGATTTGGTTGGCACCTCAACCACCTTAGCTTCATCGGACGCCGGCACTGGCATGGCTTTCACAGGGCCGGGCTGAAGTCACCTTCGGCACCCGTTCGACCCTTCAAGCCACATTTCCAGACACAAGGGTTTCACCGACCATGCGTTCACCAAAGGATTATGATGCTGGCCGACATAGACATGGCCCCAGACATGGCCAACAGCTTAGAGCTGTTACCAGGGTCCTACGCTGGTGCTGCGTACCACCAGTCAACCAGGGCACGGACCACCAGGGTACCACCAGGGTCCAGCAGGGTACCAGCAGGGTACCAGCATCACGCTTTCAATCAAGTTCAATCCCACTAAACATAGACTGACACTTAATAAATCAAGCAGATCTGCTCTGAAAGGCATTCACCAAATGAGTATTTGTTTCAGCCTCCGTACCATTTTCAGGTTCTAAAGGGGGAAGCAAAGGTTGCACATACAAACACTGGCACCCTCCAAAAGGTGTCCTTACACGATAGAAACCAAAAACCAACTGCTCAAGGAATCGGATCCTAACTCAGCTGGAAGTATGCCTTCAACTGCCCCAAATTCGCATTCCGTCCAATGACCGCCCTCTTGGAGCTTTCCCCGAATCTGGTAACTCAGATGCCCGGTGGACATCGGAAAAAAGAATCGGCAGCCTTTTTTGATTGGTCGAGTTTCAAAGGGAACCCTTCCCAACAAAAACACTGGGCAACTGGGCCCACTAAACGGGTCTGTGTGTTTGGAGGGTACCTCTTTCATCTTGGTAGGGGAAACCCCAAGCAAGTGGAGCCAAAAAGGGGCGGGAATTTCCACTGCCACTGGCCGCAACAGAGGCTCTGTTCTGTGCCGAGGCGCTGGTGGAGGCGAACCCCGAATTGGAGCCCTTGCTGGGCCCCGGTGTCGAAGAAGTGCCTCGATCGTTGGATTGCTCGGCGATCGCTGCAATCGGGGCGAGGGGGATGGGACATGACCCCCGAGATAAACCATCCCATTCTGGTGGTTTCCTTTATTCGGGAATCCCCGAAGAGTTCATTGAATGAACCCTAAGAAGGTCAACAGGTCGATTCGCTTTGGACAGGTTCATTTGACCTATCGCACAAGGAAATCCGCCTTTGTCGAGAACCTCATGGGATCTCAGCCGAGAAGAACTGGGACGTTACGGGGGGTTGGTTTCTTCAGCTGGGAACGACGGTCTCAAATCGACCCCCGAACAGGCTTAGACCTTTTGTAGGACAATTTTCAGCGTCCAAAATGAATAAACCATAAGAACCAAGTGTAAAGGGTAACCCACAGAGCAGCCAATGTTTTCTCAAGGCGACGAGCTCGCATTCTGCAAGAATCAAGCTAAGAATTGTGCTTTCCAGAAAGGTGCGAAAGGGAGGAGAGCTAGGGCAAAGCGCAGCTTTTGGTCTTTCGAATAAACCAAGGTGTCATTTTGGGGATTCCACTTTTGGAGCACTGGGCCCTTTTTGCAAGACATTGTGGCATTGATGGCTTGAGGGTTTTTCAGCAGATTGGAACCTCTTAACTTGGATCCCAGATGTGGCGCTCACAGGTTGAAGCCACCAAGAATTGGACCGCAGGTTTTAGTCTTTGGTTCCATTTGCCGATCGGGCAAGCCAATTTGGGTACGCACTTTTGACCCACAGCCTTAGGACACGCACAGAGTGAGCAGCTTTGTGATGCCGCAGATGTCCCCAAAGGTTGGGTTTGCTTTACAACAGCGATGGGTTAGGATCATTGGAAGGGAGCCATGCCATCAATTGCACCAGAGCCATGCCATCTATCAGTGTGGATTGGACAGAATGGCTTTTCACGAGCACTTGTTGCTCTCAGTTGCCCAAGTGACCCAAACATTAAAGGCGAGCACTCTTTGGGGCAAACACGGGACACTAAAAGGTCAGATCCGGTCGATTCGCCGGCAAGTGAGTACTTGAGCCAGAAGCCATGGGGGGGCAATGTCTGAGTTTGGCTTCTGGCAATGGGACCCCATGATGCATAAACAAACCGCTGGTTGATGAATCGGGCGGGGAGGGGGGGAAATTCCCAAAGGGACTCCTTCATCTTCCTTTTTTTTTGGGGGGGGCGCATACACCCCGAATGCATCCAGGTTGAATCTGGGGTCGACATTGGTGGGTAGATACCCGATCGGGAACCCATTGGTGCACATGGTGATTTGTGCCCACCACTCACTTTTCGGGCAGCTCCAACTCTCGATTTGGGTGGTCCCTCATCTTGGAGAACCCCCTATCGTTTTGGGGACGGTCATGTCTCCCGTCTTGTTTGAGGCTCCGCCTGAAGATCAACGGGAAGACCTTCCAGGTGATGTCGTTCTCGTTGCAAGAGCTGGGTACCTGGGGCCAAGAACTCACTCCCAGAAGCCAAGCCACGTGGCCGAGGAAATCCGAAATCTTCGAAACATAAAGGCGGGACAAACTGTAGACTGTTGAGTGTCAAACTGCGACTGTACAGACAGTTTCAAGTTGAAAGGGTAAAAACACCGGTTGAAGAAAAAAAAGAGAAACAAACATGATAATCCCAAAATGAGGAATTTCAACATAAACACGGCTGGTGTAAATTCAAAGAAGAAAAAAAACGGTTCCGAACCAAACCGCGACTGTTCAGAAGCTTACTTAAGTTGAAAAGGTCATACTGAAGATACCTAAAGAGCAGCAGGGTTTACGCTTCACTTCAGTCGGTAACAAGGTACACAGACCCCCAGGTCTGAGGACAGCATGTTGGAGGCGAGCAGGGCGAAGTAGAAGTGTCCCCCGCCGTCCTGAGCTGATCGGAGGCTTTACAAAACAGCTCTCTGAAAAGAGATCTCGTTTTCAGTTGCCCAAAGCACCTGGAAATAACAAAGGTGATCACCTTTTGGGTCCACTAAAAGTGGATGCAAAATCAGGGAGACTTATTGTCCCTTTCCATGATTGCTTGAGCAAGTAACGACGTCTACGGCCAACGGACATCAAATACATCAAAGTACTGTAACCTGCATGAGTGCGACTTGTTTGTCTTGTTTGAGGGCGGACAAACAACAGGACGCCGACAGGCAGCGGTGGCCCATTTTGCTGGGTCCCCCAAAAAAACATACCAGCTCCACTAGCTCCACTAGCTCCACCAGCTCCATTGGCTCCACCAACTGCATTGGCTCCACCGGCTCCATGTATAAAACAAACAAGTCAACCGCCAGCTCCCCCCAGCCACTGGGACTTTCTCCGAGCCAAGGAACGAGGCACGCGCTGTGGAAGCCCTCCTGCTGCAGCACCTTCCTTGGAAAATTACGACCCCAGCCAAACGAACAATATGACTTTCTTTTGCCCGGCTAGTGCACAAAGCAAAGAACTAGGACCCCCCCAAACAAAAAAGAGGAAAACGCCAAAAAAACACAAGAAGAGGAAAGACCAAGAATTCGGACCCAAACAAAAATATTGAGAAGAAAGAAAACAAAACACGCAAAAAAGGGGAGCCACAAATATGGAACAAAACAAGGGCAAAAAGGGGAGCTAAGTCTGTGGAAGCGTCCATCCCCCGTTGGACCAGATGGCAGCCGAGTGCGCCTGCGCGGAAGATTCCGAGCGATCGAAGCGATGGGGCATCAGAAGCCGCCGTCGAGTGAGCGCAACTCCGAAGCGGTCAGGTCGAGGGGGGCTACAGGGGTGGTGGCCCAGAAACAAAACAAAAAAACAGATCTGGCGCTGCGTGACGATTTGTTTGCCACCCGACCTTCGACTTTTCCGGGGTGTCCAATGGAGTCTGGGTCTTTCGCAAGCTCCAGGAGCCCCTGAGTGGCATGCACTTTCAACGAATTGATCAATACATGTGACATTTTACGCCCAGAAACCAAACAAAACGCGGATACCTGACACACAAGGGGTGTAAGATCGAAGAACGGAATTCCATAGACTTCCTGCGGTAAGCTGTCAACCTGCCACATATTAAGCTAAGCAAATCCATGGTGATGCCTTGAATATGCCTTGAATGGATTCCCGTCAATGCAGTGTCCGTGTTTTTTCCCCGCACAGGGAACCGTGGACACATTGACCCGCCGGATGGAAGGTTGCCGAATGAACAGTTCTCCATTCGGGTGTGTCTTAAAATGGGAATCGGAAGCCCCGACTAGGGGAGGTGTTCTTTTGGTTTCCCTTTAAACCAGCCCAAGGTACCCTTTTGGGTTCTATAGTGGGGTTCCCGACCTCGCCATTCAACTTTTTCTCCCTCGATCCAGACCGTGCCATCTTTTTGAAGTGGATAGCGTGTTCCCAGGCTGTGCGAATGCTCGAGGAGTTGGTCATTGAATGACCAAACTTCTGCCATTTTGGCGGGTTGTATTGATGCAAGCATTTCCGGCCCTGGTTCAGGAAAAACATGCACTATTCAAGTAAGACGGGTCATGATTCAAACGTTTGTTGACTCAACCTCCTTTGCCTTCTTTTCCAAGGGCTTCAAAAATCCTAGGGCTAATCCTGGTCATGGTGTTCTTAGAGGGATGTCAAATACGATGACCCCATGCGCAACAGGATGGTCTCTATGTGGCTTCCCAGTAAAGCTCAACTAGTGTGCCTCTCGAAGAAGCAAAACGGCACGGTTTGTATCGGTTTCCTTTTCTTTTGGTTTCCCTTTAAGCCAACCCCAAAAAAGGCACGCTCCAAGCACATCACCCTTACAGGCATTTTTGTCGGTAAAACAGCTATGGGTAATTTCCTCTCGAACACGAAATGCACAAAAAAACACACGAGAACAAACAAAACTGAAGAAAGATGATGAGGAAAACTAAGCAATCAAAATTGAGTTGCGCCTTTTACCTCATGAAAAATGTGAGCACATTGAAGCAACTGTGGGTTGTCAAAACCGGGGGAATCTTGACTTAAATGGTTTCCTTTTGTCTTCCAACCCAAACAGCGAGTGCCTTGAAGAAAATGTGAGCATTCCAGAAGTCTTGCTCGCAGTTGCCCGTTGACGGCTGTGCCATGGCACTGGATGCATCTGATCGAGTTGAGACGAGGGCCTGCGTCTGTTGACGCCCGTTTTGGGAGAACAAGGGCACACAAATGCAGAAACTCTCTTGCATTCGGGTCCGTGGATGTTCCAAGGGTGTCCAAAGGCAAACTGTGTGGCTGAAACAAGATGCTGGTGATATGTTTTTGCATGCCGCATATCAGCTCGGGCCGCACTTCAACAGTATGATTTTACACCTGCATCAAGTTCAACGACATAAATCGGCTGGTGCTGTTCTTCACCGTGTGGGCTCACCCCCAAGCCTTCCGCATGGGAAGGATAGATGTCAACGTGTCACGCTCCCAGGCCCCTAAAGCCCTAAAAGGAGGCACTCTTCTCTTGGCAGAGCTGTGGAAAACGTCAAGAAAAGCCAAAGGGCTGAGTAAGGAGTATATCTTGGGAATTCCCCATTGCCATTTTCCCACTGGTCGGGATTTTCCCTTGCACATTCCCCATTGGAAGTTTGCATTTAGGCATTTCCCATCGCCTTCTTCCTGTTGGATCTATCCCATTGGTTGCCCGAGTGCAAATCCGTGTACCTTGCTAGATCCTTCCAAAGCTCATGGATAGGCCGCAACCGGAGAAAAAGGGCCTGAAGCGGTCCTAAAAGCTACTGAGGAAGACAGACAGCCACTAAACAGCCTTTGGGTCCCGGCGCCTTTCTTGTTTTGCTTGGGGCCTGGCAGCTTCGGTTTTGGGGGTACCTAGTAGTACCTAGGTTCTATGACAGCGTTGCTCCAAAAGTGCCCATCGTCGCACAGACTTTTGACGAAATCTGGCACCAAACCAACTTTCTATCGTTGGAGGCTTGGAGGCTTGCTTATTCCAGGGAGCCTTGGAGCAACATAATTTGCAACATTCGCTCGTGACTCGAAGGTAATTCGGTGTCGTAGTCCCCCATACTTAATTATGTAGGGGGTATCATCCACTTTGAAAATAAGGGCACTTAGTCCTAAACAAAGAGGTCACTTAAGACGTTTAAAGGGCACGTGAATGCGAATGACACTCACATGGGGGCGGGATTGACGCTGGGCAAATCGAGCCGCAGCGATACGCGAATGACACTCACGCAGGGGGGACCGACACTAGCGAAAGTGACCTTTTCAAGGGGGTAAGTAACCTCGATTCGCACCCCCAATGACACTCAAATGACACGCTTTGACACTCAAAACGCCATGTTCGGGCTTTCCGGGTCGGCCCCAATCAACTGTGGCAGTTGTCACACTTCGACACGGGTAGCTCTTCGATTTCAACCGAATCCCAACCCTTATCAAGCCAAAACGGGCACTTAGCAAACGAATCAAAGGGGCGCTTAGGCCACCGACACTGCGTTAGCTCTGGGGCATGCGGCAGCTCTCGGGTTTGGTACTCGCGCTGTTTTCCGCGTCTCAGCCCACACTTTGGGACGGCTCGCTCGCACGCGAATCCAGCTACTTCGGGACCAGAGGACCAGAGGCCATCGAAGCGCAGGATGAATCCAAGACCCTGCCCAGTGACCCTGGTAGACAAAAGAACTCGTCCTGGGGTGAAGCCATCTGAGAGAGCCACCAAACAAAAGAGGAACCAGGCAAAAGCGATCAGGGCCTACCCAGAACCGATATCCTTCCTAACAGAAGGCATCCAGGTACCTGCAAGATCCGTTTCCTCTTGGGACACCCTGCCATAGCAACGCGGGTCCGATTCTCCTAGACGCCTCAACCTACCAGTCACTTGCGCTCCACCAGGAAGCGGCCTCGACAGGGCCACGTGGATCAACCAAGATGGGTGTGTGTGTGTGTGTGTCCGTTTTAGGATTGGTTTCAAGGGAAACCAAAAGGACAACCACTATGTTTGGGGCTTCCGAGTCCGATTTGGGCACATGCCCACATCAGCCATGAACAGACACGCGCAAGAGGATTGTCTAGGTGCTTAAATGTATCTATTGTCATGTCAGTCAAGTGCAAAGATTGAAGGTTCGGAAGCGTAGCCAACGCCAGACACAAAGATCTGCAAATGCAGCAACACATTTGAGTAACAAAGACTGCATGCTCAGCTGCCCAAAGGACCCGGAAATGAAAGTTTTACCGTCTGGGACCTTTACCAAACATGGACCAAACAGGGGAAGCCAAAAGCTTCAAAGGTTGGCCTTGGATAACTGAGCATATGAACTGCCTGAAGGTGGGCGACCGGCTCACTTTTCAGATTAGCTGCATACTTAACGCATTGCTCAAGGCTACTTGTAGCTTGGGTCGGGAAATGAACCATGCAAACGCCCAATGGTTGGGCGGCCCCGGACAATCCATGAACAGGTCTGACTTTGACGCTATTTCAGGCTCATGGTGGGAGGACACCCTAAATTTATGCATCCAACCGTTTAGGGACTTCTGAAGTGGTCACAGAATCCCATGTGAGCCCATACACTGGCAGCCATGCCTACGCGGAGCCTATGCATACTTTTCTCGAGAACTAATCTCAAATCAGAACAACAAGTTGTGCAAGGTAAAACACGCCTACGCGAACCTACGCAGGATTCTCTTGAACAACCTACGCAGAGTGCCTACGCGAATCGCCTCCCCCACCAGAAGTGCCCACGCGGTGCCTCCGCAACAACAAAATGAGTTCCCCCCGAATACTAAGCGAATCCATCGCAAACAATAAACTCTGCTCATGCAGACTTTCCTTGCCTGGCCTTCCAGTCGTCTCTCCAGTCGTCCTTCCAGCCATCTTTCCAGTCGTCTTTCCAATCATCTCTCCACTTGTCCCTCCAGTCGTCCTTCCAGGCGTCCTTCCTCTCTTTCCAGTCGTCCCTCGGACACATCGCGAAAATTCTAGGGGGGTGTCTAAACTTGCCCGTTTTACATCCTGAAAAGCCATATGGCTCTTTTTTTGGACGGGACCCCGTACTTGGCTCGCTTTTTCCGTGTGGTCATTTTGCTTCTGGCCGGCCGCATTTGGCCGTATGCAACGGGCATTTTGTCCAATGTCGTAAATGACCGTATTGCCCATTTTGGGGGACCGACATTACGGCCAATGTGCTTCCAGGCTCACACCTCCAACCTAAGGAAGCTCCGCTTGCCCTATGGAACCTGCCTGAGGGTCCCTGATCCACGTCAGCCGATTGAATCGAAAAATATCCCCCCCCCCCCCGGCAGCCTGACATGAAACCCCAAAACCAGGTCGGTTCAACGGAGATTCCTGAATGGTGCTTAGTCTTGACTCTTGGCCCGCTCGTGTGTATTCAAACTTGGGTGCTTCTCAAAATAGCTCCAAAGAAGGTGGCTTCCCTTTTGTTCTCCTTTTACTTTTGAGTTCTTTAAGACATTTTAAAACCTTCCAAAAGGGGGGTTCACCATTTCGAGAGACTCCCCATGGGCTTGCCGCAAGCGCTTGCCGGGCCTTGGGTTCCGCGTGTATCCAGTTTGGGGCTATCAGCCTCATCGGGATTGCGAGACTTAGATGCCGAGCTGTGGGAAAAAAAAGAACTGGTTGAGTTTGAAGGGGAACCATTCCCATAAAAAGGAGAAAAGGGCGCCACTGGGCAAGTGGGGAGAGGGAAAGTGAGTGGATTGCTTTTGGATGCTCCAAAATGCAAATCAGTAGAAGGATGGACAAAATCATGCACCCGTACCCGGTGCAGGATGTCCACCGTATGGCGGTTTTACAATTTGCCCGGATCGATTCACAGTTGTGCCTCGGGTAAGGAGTGGTCTTGCTCTTCGCGTCTGCTCCTTGGAGACTGGGGGGATCCTGCGGTTTTCCAGAGGTCTATGCATTCTTCCAAACGACCGCAAGACACTGCTCTGATACTGCCAGAAATAGAAGGTCAAACGGGCCAACCTGCAAGATAGGCGTTGCTCTCATTTAAGTCAAATTCAAAGACATATTATGATGTCACCAAACTTTGACTCGGACATGGCATATTGGCTTGTGAGTGTTTGAGGGTACCCTTTTCAGGTTGGTGTAAAAGGAAGCCAACAAGGACACCGAAGCCTTTTGGGGTCCAAACCCGTTGACACGGACCCCATCGAAGGGCCCATTCCAAAGCACCAGCTCCTAGCCAAGCGGCCAATTCCATTTGCCCCATGGCGTCCTCGTCGCAAAGAAAGAAACATCCGAGGCGAGGTACCTCTTAGCCCGGCGGATTTCAGGGAACACGTTGAACAAAGTAACTGCATCCTTTCCCAGCGGTAGTTCTTTGCCTCTCAGCGACTGGCGCCAGGATTTTTCAACCTGGAGCTACTGCGTAAGGAAACCCAAAGTACGGAGCACAGGTGTCTGTCACCCTTTCAAGAAACTCGGGTGAAGGAAAAGCACCCTTAAAGTCACCCGTAGAATCGAGCTTGAATCGGGGATCCTTTGGTGGGCATGGGGACTTATGCCCACCGTTTGGAGGGAGTTCCCCAAAGAAAGTGCATTGGCTGGGAAACCAAGAGAAACACCGCAGCTGAGGGGAGAAGGTGAGCAAGTTTACTGGCAACCAAGAGTTCCAGCCAGCATCCCTCCTCTTCCCCGGGCAAGAGTGAAGCTTTTCAGTGTTGAACCCAAGCAAAACGGGATTCAGTGGGTGAATCCACTAAACAAACCGGGTTCTTGCCAAGCAAAATCTATGGTTGGTGACCCCAACATTCTGGGTGGTGAATTCACTTTAACAGGACTAGCTCCTCCAGTAGAGAGAGTGGAATAAGGGTTCCAACTTTTTTTTCTGTAACCCATTTTAGCAGGGCAACCCGCCCAACCAGAAAAGGGGTGAGAAAGGGCACCTAGCCGGGGGACCTAGTTGCTCAGAGCCAGCGCCTTCATTTGGATGGGGGACCCTTTGAGGATCTTTGAGGTTTCTGCCCGACTGTCTGCCCACCAAGGCCTCTCGGGCGGGGTTTCCCTGGCGGACCTGCGCGCGGGACTCTGCGGAGGGTACCCTTCGAGAGGACGCGCGAAACCGGACGTGGGGTGTTCCTTGAAACCAGGGAGCCGCAAAAACGGACGGTTTTCCGTTGA